ATTGTCCGAGCATGTCTGTCCCTCCACTCCTTCCGTTTCGACTGGCTGTCGACGCTTCGCGTCTGATTTGTGATGGGCAGGCAGAAACTCTGTTGATTTGATGCCTTGTTCGGTGGAGCCCAACTCCTGGATTCTGTCTCTCTCTCTCTCTCTCTCTCTCTATTCACAGAACAGACCCTAGAGCTGCCTCCTGCCACTCCTTCTGCATTTCATTTTCTATTTTGTCACTTTGAAATTAAAATATAAATCCCGCGCCGCTTTGACAACTTTTTAAGCTCCATTAGCGTTGACGAAAGAAAAGCCTATGGCCGTGGAAAAAGGGTCAATGTAACCGCGAAGGCAGCCGTCGCGCGGCAGGACATCAGGACATCAGGACATCAGGACAACGGCAACAGCAACAGCAACCCCTTTTTCGGCTGGGGGTTACCTTGCGGTTGTTGCCAGAGCAGCTCCCCATACCCTGCCACGCTCTTCCGGTCTGGTTTTTGGTTTGGGCTCGTTGGTGTTGCACTTCCGTGGCCCGAACAACAACAGAGGCACCACAAAATACGAAATACGAAATACGAAATGGGAGGAGAAAAAAAACCATTTAACTGTTTCGCTGTTTGGCATTCATTGCGAATTTAAAGGGCGGCTTAGTGACAGGAATAATAAGGAAGCCCGCAGCGGAAGCGCTGATGTCAACGCAGCAGCAGAGTCAACAGTGGCAGTGGCAGTGGCAGCAACAACAGAGGCAGAGGCAGTGGCACACAAAAACAAAAAAAAAACTGTAACCGCAAGGGACTTGGCCGAAGGGGGGCAATAATGGGCCACGGGCCATGAAGTCCTTGTCGCTGCTGCTGCTGCTGCTGTTGCTGCTGCTGTGTGTGTCCGTTCGTCCCCGTTTTCGATTCGGTTTTTGGGGCTGTGCAAACAAACCCCAGAACCAGTGCTCAGTCCACAGTCCACAGTCCTCATTCGAACCAAAAAACCAAAGGAAACCAAACGAAACGAAACGAAACGAAACGTAACGAAATAAACCCAAAACCTCAAAACGTTAAAAAGGACAACAAGGAGCAAGTTTCGTTGTCAGTTCTCTGGTCAGCCCCAACTATGCTAAGGGGACATTCCCCAGCAAATAGTTCCTCAGCCCAAGGAATGGAAACAATACAAAATTAAATGCTTACTACTTGAGCGGCGCTTAGTTGAGTCTCATAATTTATAACCAAATCCTCAGACCTCAGACCCATGCAGATTTCCAGGTTGAGGATTCGTTTTTGGATTTGAACCCAGCGCCGTGCCAATTCTGGCAGCCGGGCAGCCGGGCAGCCGGGCAGCCAAGTGGCAGACATCAAAACACACCCCCGACCCGGCCCGGCCTGGACGCGCTTCCTTCTGCCTGTCGGCCGGCGTTCCAACCCCCGAGAGTGGTCCTGTTTCTGGTCCCACTCCCAGTCCCTGCTCCTGCTCCTGCTGCTGCTGCTGCTTCTTGCGGTGCTGTTGCATAATTTTCGGCAATCCACAAGTGTGTGTGGATTTGCCTGGCACGAGTCCGTTGCCAGCCTCTGTCCCAGTCCATGTCCCCCTCTGTGAGTGGCCGTGTGTGTGTGTGGCTTACTCGTTTGTTTTGTGCAGAGAAATGAGAGTGCGAGAGCAGCAGCGCAGGCGCAGATCCATCTCTCTGTCTCTCTTTGCTTTTGGGGTTGTTGAATGTGGGCGCCCGAACTGGGGGCTGGCTGGCTACTTGTTGTGTCTCTATGTGTGTGGTGGGGACAATCATCCATCAAATGGCGCACTACCTATCGATCGCTATCTGATAAATCAAAGCCGTCATATTCACATCAATAAATGCAAGCAAAGATGCATCTTCCTCTCAGCCATAGAGTGTAACAGGCAACCCTTTGTTGGGATCATAGTTACGAGGCAACAAACAACCCCATCCCAGCACCAGCACCACCTCAAGGGTGGTGCGTTGGTGTGTTGAATTTGGTGCTGTTGCTGTTGCTGTTGCTGTTTCTGGCACTGCTGCTGACCCGAAATCACGCACACTCGCTGTAAATTACACACACAGAAACCCAACGCACAGATACACATGCAGTCGTGATGGCAAAGGCAACGGGCAACGGGTAACGGGCAACGGGCAACGGGCAACGGCGAAACAACCGAAACGAAAGCTGCGAATACGAAGCGCACAGTAGAAGGGAGTGGTACGTCAAAAACTGACGCACAGCGGCAGGCCACACTGCGCAAGAGGAAACAAGTCCATAGTTTAATAGTACTCATAATAATAATAATATAAACTGTAAAATACATAAAACAATACGTGCAATCCAAGTCCAAGCCCGAGCAAAACAAAATTACGTGAGAAAGTGCAAAAAATCTATAAGAGAAAAGCGTGGAAAAAAAAAACAAACTGTGCAACGGTGCTGAGAAAAACAAGCCAAGGAAACATACACATAGCAGGGCAACAAATCAGAGCGAGTACGAGAGAGTTTCATTCTATAGCAACTATCTAGATTCCTATAGCGCAAATGTATTCCCTTCTTGAGACCCAAGCATGTTCATGGGGCCTCCCATTATCATTAATTTATGCATGAATTGATTTGACAATCCTCAGATGTTTCGTGTTGCATGTGAGCAGAGCTATGAGGTATGCAACAAAGTGATGTGTGTGTGTGTGTGTGCCTCGAGATTGGTTTTCTTTCGGTGTCTTGTGTGTGTGTGTGTGTGTGTGGGTATAAACTGCGATGTCGACACTCGTTGCAGTGCCAGCGGTTGCTGCAAAGTATGCAATAAAATCTCGCATTGTTTATGTGCAAGGCTGGAAAGAGAGAGGGCAGAGAGACAGAGAAAGAGTATGAGAGAGTGTCCGGGACAGGGGTGTGCTGGCGGAGACGACAGTGAGGTAGGCTAAGGCAACCAACAGTTGACTATTTGTTGCATGTACTCGCACCACCACTCACCACTCGCCGAGAGCAGAGCACCAGCGAGTGCGCTCTCCCGAGCCGAGCACTTTCCACGTCGTTCCCTCTCTGTCTCTCAGTCGATTTCAATTCACAAAACATTCGACAAGTGCAGAGTGAAACAAGTTGTTGTTGCTGAAGCGAGCAGCCAAACAACGAACAGGCGAAAAAAATTAAGCCATATATTCAATAACCCAACCGCAAAACAGAATCAATCCAATTCGGTGGAAAATAATCCTTTTCCCACCATGTGATAGCTGCAAAAAAAAAAGTGACCAAAGTGTGTTCGATACTGAGGAAGGGAGCGAAAGCGGAACCAGGCAAGAATCGCATACCATGAATGGGAATCTCAATTGGAATCGGAATCGGAATCAGGATCCGAGTCGAATCCGAGTCAGAGTCAGAGTCGGAATTGCAATTGTCGTCTCTGCATTTCCTAAACAATGGCAACGAGTGTATGCGCCATTTTTAAAAGTGGGATAGGGATAGATAGTTTCGTGTCCATGTCCGTGTTCGTATTCGTGTCCGTGCGTGTGCGCCTTCCTTCCAATGAATGTGGAAGTAACTTTGGAAGGGAGTCCTTCCTCTCGCTCCTTTCGTGGCTGCGTGGAAAAGCTACGTACTGGCACTGCCAAACCACGTATAGCCCGTGCAATTTAGTGCAAAAAGTATAACAATTTATCAATTAAGTGTAATCAAGTGTTGCAAATCGCCGACCCCTCTGCCCCATGTGGCATGCCAACCCAAACGCCTGCAATATCTGCTGCAACCTGCTGCCCTGCCACGTCCGTGTGCTGTCTTGCGCCTCGGTTTGGGTTCAGTTGACGCTGATTGCACGGCGGTTTCTGCATTTATAATGTAAATATTATGGCTGCCAACCACCGCAGGAACTTGTTTACAATTTTCACTCGCAAATCGGCATTTAAATTATGCAATTTTACGAGGAGTGCAGTTGGTGTTTCGGTTGGTGGTGTGTTTGCTGCATAGTTTACAGCGTATTTACTTTAAATTGAAGTGCGGATTCCAGTCTGACATTTGCATATATGGATTATTTTACGATAGAAAAACGACAGAGGGACATTCGTGGGTGCGTGGAGGATATACACGGTGCTGGTAATTGGATGCGCTCAAGAGTAATGAGATGATTAAGGGAGTAAATGCAGCGATTAGTTTTCACTTACTTTGCAGCTTGCACTCTGAGAATGTTCGATTTTAAGGTAGTAAAGAGGAAAGTGAGGAAACTGTTCGCCATTTATCAATTTTGTATGAAGTTCAAGCGAAACGCAGACATGAGAACACATTTAATACATATCTTATGAACTTACTTGCTTCTTTATTATTTCCCTTTCTTATTTGTCCCTTTGGGGAATCTGCAACGAATATTCGTACTTATATTTGTTCGTAAATGGGGGCTGCTCTTTGTCTGCAGTCCTGCCAGTGAGTAAATCTAATATAATTTACTTTCATGTCTACTCCTTGCAGAACCTTGATTGTAGCGGCAGAAGCAACGGCAACGCAACAACGAACGCAAAATACCTTCAATTGTGGCAAAAGTGTGTGTTTGGCCAGGCCAGCGAGCGCACAGAAAGTTATATAAGCGGCAAAGAGAAGGCTAGAGAGGTGTAGAGGAGGCTGTCGAGGATGCCCGCCAGTCGCAGCCGGCACGCCAAAGGACACGATTCCAACAATACCAAAGAGCAAGCAGAGCCATCAGCGGCAGCAGGAGCAGGATCAGGTCCTGGAACTGCAACTGCAGCTAGAACTAAAGCCGGAGCAGCGCTACTCTCAAGGCAACTCATGTCAATGTCAAAGTTGAAGCATAACTAGTTGGAGGAGGAGGAGGAGCAAGGAGCAAGGAGCTAGGAGCAAAGCTAAAGCATTTTACTGCAGACGACGCTGGAGTCGATGTCAAAGAAGGTTGTGCTATATCTACATAGTAAATACAAAACAAATTTAAAACATAAGCAACAGAAACGGGCTTCAGGAGCAGCCAGAGGATCCCCCACACAAGCCCCAGAAAAGGAATCCGAACCGAGAGTCAGAGTTAGAGTCAGAGTCAGAGCCAAAGCCAACACACAAAATATAAGTGCAGACCGACCCTGAGGTGTGGGTTGTCTGGTGCACAGGCAATTCTAGAGATTTGATCCGCCAGGCGGCCAAACTGGCAACTGCCGGCAGACTCGGGGAGCGGACACGGGAAAGGAGACGAAGACGGTGACGGAGTCAGAGTCGGAGTCGGCCCACAAGGAGAGAGCAGAGCAGAGCAGGCACCATGTCTGTGGACTTTATACTGCCCAATCGGAACAAGATACAAACGATTGCCTACGCGAGTGCCAGCAGAAAGTATGCCGCTGCGGCATCCCCTGCCTCGACCGGATCCGGAAGCAACAGCAACGGCAGCAGCAGCAGCAGCAGCAGCAGCGAGCTGCAGAGCTGGCGGCGACCGAAGCCGAGAAACGGCAGCAAACTGAGGCTGGAGGACAGGTCCTCCTCCTCGGTGCTGCGCAATGCCAATGGGAATGGAAATGGAAGTGGAAACGGGAGCAAGTCCTCGCTCAAGTCGCTGGCCAAACGCTCCTCCAGATCCCTGCTGAAGCGTGAGGTAATCGAGCTGGAAGACGAGGATGATCGGAAGGAGGGAACTGGCGGCGAGGAGCAGCTATGCGAGCACTTGGAATGGTCCGCCGCCCAGTCCCTGGTGCAGATGACCTCCTCCAAGCAGGAGAAGCAGCGTCGCCTGGGAGGGGGCACATCGGGAGGTGCTAGCGGCACCACAGGAACCACAGCGGCAGCCACAGTCTCCGCCTCAGGTATGTGTGCAACAGTTGACCACTTTTCGGTTTCCGTTTCCGTGTTCCTTTAGTCCTTACTGCCACTGCCCCTGCCACTGTCCACGGGCAATGGTTGCCCTTTCCCCTCCTCCGTCTAGCGGTCGCCAAGCCATTCATTGTTCCATTTATGGACTTCCCCTAGTGGGGCTCCCCATCTCCCATTCCCCTTGCTCTGGTGTTCAGCCTTCCTTTCTTCTGGTGGCAGCTTGCCCTTTCCTATTTCCTTTCCCACCTCCCCCATTCCCCTTGGAAAGTTGCGTCACAACAATGTGAACAGGTGGCTGCGACAATTTGTGTACTCGTATTTATTTTTAGTAGCCAGGTTTTGCCTCACTCCCCTCCCCTCGTGCTCACTCTGGCGTCCATGGGCCCCAACCAAGAAGCACTCTCAACCATTTTATGACCCCCCACTTTGGCCACTGGTCGTCGGTCCTCGTCCTTCACGGTGCCCTGTGCCCTTTTCCCCTGCGCAACAGTCAGCTCAGCTCCTCCCCCCTCTTCGATATGCGCTCGTGTTTGACATTGTCGCCGTTAGCTAATCTTTTTAGCGTATGTTGGCATTTTCCATGTTTGCGTTCGCTTTAGCCCTCGCCTTTTTGCCCCACTCTCCCTCCCACCCTTGTTGCTTCTCCTTTGCCTACTTGTCGCTGTGTAGTTGCTGTTGCTTTCGCTGCTGCTTGTTGCTCTTGACAAAGGCACAGAAGAGGAAGAAGGAGAACAGAAGAAAAAGAAGAGGCAAATGCAAACACGAAAGCGAACAAGCGGCGGCATTGACTGCCAGTATAGGAAAGGGAAGGGAGAGGGAGGAGAAGGAGTGTAGAAGAGGTCGCGCGTCGTCTTATCGATTGAGAAACTGTAAACGTAACAGGTCAACCTCTGCGGCAGCAGCAGCAGAAGCACAAGCAGCCGCAGCGTAATGGGAAAATATTGCGTCAGCGTCAGTGGGCTCATAAAATAACCAAATGTGCAGTTATTTATGTATGGGTATTGCATATTTCGCTTGCCCATCCCCTCAATCTCCACACCATCTGTGCTGTTACTCTTATGCTTTATTTTCTTCTTGGCGCTTTACACAAAACAAACACACACACACACACATGTACACGCACAAAATAAATCAAATGCAGATTTGCCGGTGCTTTAAAGCGATAGAGAGGGATAGCGACACCCTCAACGTTTCTTCTTAGCTGTTAATCCCCTACTCCACTCTTACGCTTGTGCCGAAAAGGGAAAGATAGAGAGTCTGCAATTTCGGGAACAGTAATTCTCTGCCCGCTGTGTCGATCGCTGTTTATTCAATTTCACAATTTTCGCAATGAGCATTTTAAACATTTTAACGCTTTGATTTGCCTCTGTTAGTTAAGTGCTTTGTGGTGTTGAGAAGTGTTATTTGAACAGTACGTCAGCCAACACTGGGATGCCGGAAGCCGGTAGTGCTTTCTATCCGCAGCCATGTGTTGCAGGTGTGACATTTCTGAGAAAAGCCTTTTACCAGGCAACCCTACTTTGAGCAACTTTTTTCACAGCTGATTCCAGAAACCCTTTGAACATGTTTTCTGGAACATCTATGGTATTTGGCGAACCCCAAACTGAGCCCTTGGATTGTTGGTTGAGAATTTTGGTAAATTTTGTAGCTGCGGCATCCTGCAATAACATATTTTCCACATTTCACAGTATCGGTGCGCCGTCCAGTGGCCGCCGGGCGGGCCCCGGCCGAGGACGGAAAGGTGATCTTCTATGCACCGCCAGCCAGTGCTTGTGGTGCTGCGCGCCAGCCGGAGCCAATGTCCGTGAAGCGCCAGCGCGAGCAACAAGTTGCGGCGAATGCCTCCGCAGCGGCCACGGCCGCTATTATTTACCGCGGACGCAGCGCTGAGGAGACGGAGGCCGCCCACGATCTGCTGTCGCTGTCCCAGAGCCTGCCGCCGCTCATTCCGCCCTGCGTGGTGACCATCATGAAGCAGGAGCAGGAGCACCACAAGTCGTCGGCGGAGCACTTGCCAATTATGCAGGAGATCTCGAACGCTTCCAACAAGTCGCTGGCCACATCGTCGCAGTCGAACATCCGATTCATCGGCAGCAGTTCCTACGACATGATGAACGGAGCGCCCGAAGCATCGAACAGCTGCTCGCCACTGACGCCGCCCAACTCCGATCACAGCTCGGATGTGGACATCGACATGTCTTCCTCGTCCGAATCCGGCCAGATGCACTGGGGCAAGCAGCCGCACCAGGCGCCACAGCAGCAGCGGGCCTCGGCCCTGAAGATGTGCCTCAACATGTTGGACGGGCGCACGAAGGCCAGCAAGGCAGCGGCCGGCAAGGACCGGGAGCAGCTGCACCAGCGTCCAAAGAGCTCCAGCAGCTCCAATGCATCGGGCGGCGCAGTAAGCAGTGTCGCAGGCGGACGTGCAGCCACTCTTGCCGATGTGGCAGCAGCAGCTGGAGTTGTATCCAGTGGCAACGGGGAGAATTATGCCAAGCGCAAGCGCGGATGCTACAAGTGCTCCGAGTGCGGCAAGCAGTACGCCACCTCCAGCAACCTGTCGCGCCACAAGCAGACGCACCGCTCCCTGGACTCACAGTCGGCCAAGAAGTGCAATACCTGCGGCAAGGCATACGTGTCCATGCCGGCCCTGGCCATGCACCTACTAACGCACAAACTCTCGCACAGCTGCGACATATGCGGCAAGCTCTTCTCGCGCCCCTGGCTGCTCCAGGGCCATCTGCGCTCCCACACCGGCGAGAAGCCCTATGCCTGTGTCCATTGCGGCAAGGCCTTCGCGGACCGCTCCAATCTCCGCGCCCACATGCAGACGCACTCTGGCGACAAGAACTTCAAGTGTCACCGCTGCAACAAGACCTTCGCGCTCAAGTCGTATCTGAACAAGCACCTGGAGTCGGCCTGCCTCCGGGATGCGGGAGCCATAGGGCAGGGCAAGGGCGATGACTATGACTGCGATCTGGACGACGAGGACGAGATGATGGGCAAGCACGATCAGGACGAGTTCGACGGCGATGAGATGGACAGTGATGAGACTAGTCAGGATATTGAGGTGGCTTAGGCGGCCGTCGGCAATGCGATGGATACTGATGAGACTAGTTGGGATATTGTGGTGGACTGAGGCAGCAGCCGAGGTTGGCCACAAGACTCCTCGTTTACCTTAATATTAGATACTTTATACCAGAACCCTATAAGCAATATTCGAGCACCCTTATCAAATTAAAAACGATAAAAACCAAACAGGAAGGAGAGTAATCGAAGGTTATAATTCAAATCAGTCAACTAGCAGCTTACTAGCAGAGTAGTTCGGACGGAGGATGGAAGACGGATGGATGGAAGATGGATCTCAACTCAATAGAATGTTCTCAACAGTTATATACATATACATATATATCTACTTACTTATTATCTGACCTTTTCCGGGCTACTTCTATAGCGGGACGAGCGAGAAAGAGAACATGGAGGAGGAGTCTTTCCGAGTTGCAACTTTTACAGAATTGAACAACAACCAAAGATAAACAACAACACCAAAAGCAACAGCGACAAAAGACAGACCGACAGACAGAAGAGCATAACGGAAGGGAGAACAAAACAAACGGAAACAAAAAGGAAAAAACAAAAGGTTTAAGAAAGAAATCCAAAACGTAACTTATAGTAAAAATCTGACACAACGAATATTATGGAACATAAGTAGAAATTCTATATATACACAGATCAAATAAGCATATATACAGAATGGAAGGGAGAAAAGGAGGGAAGGAAGGAAGAATGGAGGAGGAGAAAGGGCAAATTATATATATATACATATGATCTATATGAACTACGAGTATTATAACATAGCGAGCAGAACCAATTTGCATGTTTTTTGGTAATATCTACTTTAAGGCATCGTTTTAGGGCTCTAGAGTTTACACACACACACACACACACACACACACACACACACCCCTTACCGCATCCATACATACCTAGATGTACGAGTATTACGAGTATTAGTCTGTATTCAAAGAGAACTTTCTCGCTCTCTAACTGCAACCACGCCACCCCCACACGCCATTCGAAGAGGACAGATGGACAGTAGAACAGTTAAAACAGTTGAACAGATGGACGGCTCACTTTCAAGTCTAGCAAAATAAACAATTAGTGAACTTATAGCACTTCCTGTAACTCCCTATATCTCTCTCGCTCTTAGGCTCTTTTTAAATATTGTACTCAACGATCAAAGATTAGCAATTGGAAATCGGATATACTCTCAGCAAGATGTAGTCGGACGAAGGACGAAGGACGCAGAGGCAGAGGCACAGAAGAACCATTTTAAAACTGCTAAGGCAAACTTTACACTCTAACCCAGTTTAAGATGGGTATTACTTCCATATTATGCTCTAACTCGATAAACAAAAACTACTTCAATTACTTAGAAATGATTAAAATTAATGAGAAAACAATTTAGAAACATATCACAAGGACAATACTTAAACATAACTAAAAAAAAACAAGTACATTCAAAATATAATATACATAATTAAAAAAAAAAAAAAATATAACAACAACAAAAATAATGATTATGAAAGAAGCAAAACCCCATTCAAGGCATTCTCATACACAGCAGCAACAAAGTACTTACGGTATAGTTATTTTATTACTAGCATTAGAACCAAACCAACTCGTGTATATACATGCAAGATTATATTAACAATTTTATACAAAACCCCCCCAGTCCCCTCCCCACGCCATTCCCGCCATACCCACACAGAGGCAACCCCCACTTTGGCCCAGCCAAAGGTTTCTTATGGACAAGAACAATCCTTCCCTTCCCGCAAAACTAGGATAGCAGCCCCCCCCCCCCCCCACAAGTTTTGGGCGATGATTATGATGATGATAGAAGTAGAAGACGCACTTGTAAAACAAATGATAACTAAAAGCAATTCCAAAGTTAAGTGACATAGTTTTTAAAGATATCACATAAGGAAACCAAGAAAAAAAAACAAGACAAAAACAAAACAAAACCAAAAAACAAATTTGTAATTCTATAACAAAATCGAGAAGTATTGATATATACACAAAAAAAACATGTATTTATTTTACGCGTAGATTTTATTCTGAAACCAAAAAAAGCAAAATGGGCAACAGACCGAAACCAAAAGAAAAACAAAATAAACAAACAGAAAAACAAAACAAAGCCCATGTAAACAATTTAATTAAATTGTCAATTACAATTATTTCTTAATTTAAGAAACGATGAATGAGGCGGACGCGATAGACGTTATTTTTTAAAGCATATATATACACATATATATACATATAAACAAATATATTTAAAAAAAGAGGCAGTTTTATATCGAAAATTAATAATAGTAAAGGCAGAATAGCAACAAAATATTGAAAACCATTCGAACTTAATTATACAACGAGCAAGAAAACATTAATTATAGATCCAAGCCCACACAAATAAAAAAAAAACAACAACTTCAGAGATACACACACGCAACACACAAACACAGACACTGACAGGACACACCTCCAGTTTATATATAGATTATATATAAATAAAAACATGAAGGAAAGAGGATAATTATTACATCGTATCTACATACGCGCATGTACTTATTATACACATGTAGATCCGTAGATATGTCGCATGTCGTGTGGTGTCGCAGTCTACACAGCCGCGTCAAATCGGTACATCGGCGGAGCATTAGATTTAGACCAGAGAGTGCTATGTGCATTGTTTAGAGATCGTGTTTATGCATGGCTTTATTGATGATTATTGATAGCGTTTTAAATAGCATTAAATGCCTATATACACATAAGCAAACCAGAACAACAAAAACCAAAAAGAAAGAAGATAAAGATATAAAAACAAAAAAAAAGTATAAGGAATTCCATTGAACCGTAGTGGTAACAATTATGTGATTTGCAATTTTACATTCAAAATATATATATGAAATAATTACGAGTATATATAGATTATATATTGAGGCAAGCGTTTAATTGATTTATTTATGAGTAAGATTTATTTATACACATTATACACCACAAAACGAGAAACTAAAAACCAAAAAAAACAAATGAGAAAAACTTACAAAAAAATGTGAACAATGATGAGGAGAAGCAAAGCAAAACTTAAGTATTTTTACACCGAAACTTTGTTTTTGTGTTTGGTTTTTTTTTTTGTAATGTGGCAAGTTGAACCCCCCAAACCCCTTAACCTATACCCCTTAGATACCACAAACAGATACCCCCGAACACTCCTGCAATATTCAGTTAGAAATCCCCAAAAAGCACACAAAACACACACAGACACAAACAAGTGAATAATTTCAAGATCAAAGACACCAATTCAATTCGGATTATTATACAATAAAAGGGAAGCTAATCGAAACAGAATGAAGGAGGAATATTGGTTAGGGAGAGATATTTTATAAAAAACGACAGACAAAACACTGAGAAAAGGGGGAAAGTGAAATGAAATGAAATGAAATGAAAGTGAAAGAATAACGTAAAGATATTAATTTATATATTCATATATTAGAGATGCAAAAAGACTTGAACAGTTATATATACATTTAAAATTGCAATATATTGTATACTTCATTCAAATATATATACATACATACCATACATACACACATATATCGTATACACGGAACGTACATATGTGTATACATAGTACTTAACTTATTTACATATTGTATATGCTTACAGCGAACCATAAACTTAACATAAACCGAATGCCCAATAGGAGTCCCTCAAGTATCAGTAACTCGAGATCAATTCTTACAATTGTAATTGTAACCCAATGACCACTTGGCAGGAGCGAGCATGTCGATCCGCCTGCCCTACAGGAATACTCGTATATAGATAATACATACCACATAGAAATGCATGCAGAAAACACACCCCGCACACACTTTTTTCCTTTTGATACTTAGCATTTGTTCTTGTTCTAATTTTAGTTAGAGAAAGCCAGCCAGCAGCAGCAGCAGCAGCAGCAACAAGCAAAGCAACAAGCAAAGCATTACATAGTTTCAGCTTTCGTAGGAGTTAAATAATCGAACTTTACCTAGATGAACCGGGACTAGCCAACAATGCTCACTATACTTACTTGTAAAACCTATACCTATGCCTAAACCTTAACCTTAACCCTTACACCTACACCTACACCACCTCCCTAAACACTGACACACTCTCTGAACACAGTTTAAGCAACAACACTAACCGACATGCATAACCATACGATTTGATGGCTAATATGTAGCGTATATAACCTATTATATCCCAAAATGAAAAGCTTATCCACTCTTAAATTATTATACACAAGAATTAACAAAGCGAAACGAAGCAAAAGAATCACAGCATCCACTATGGAAGGAAAAGAAATACGACAAAACAAAACAAAGAATAAACGCCACACGAAACATAATATCTACAAATAAAACAAAACCCCGACTCCTCAAAAGATTTAAACCAACAAGAATGGTACTAATGGAGATGGTATATAAATTAGATACATAGTTATAAAAGCTACACCCACACACTAGTGCAGCCATGTAACTATTTTTAGAGCCTCGGAAATAAACATACATAATATACATAAAAATATTAAATAAACGACAGAGAAAAACAGAAACAGTTGCCAAGAGTTTTGTTATTTGACAGAGAAAAGGTTTAAGTAAGTATGGAAACGGATTAAATTGCACAAACTCTATTTTGGGAGGACTCTTCTCACCCCTAATGGGCTTTTCTGGTCTAATTTCTAGTACTAATTCCTGTGCTGTGAGCGCTTCCAATGGTGCTTAATGAATGTTCAGAGTCCACTCTGCGATTGCCTCCATCCTGATGGATTCTATCAACTCAATTGGCATTAAATGCGATAGTTGCCGAAAACTGGTACGTAAAAGTGCACTTAAATGGCTGGGCGTGGACAAACATTTTACATTTTGTGCCCACAGCCAGCCGAGTGGCGGCCACTCGTTGTTTTGGGGGCAAGTTGATGCTCCACAACTAATAAACTATGCATCGCTGCTTTAATTCGATTGGAGCACGGGCACACATGAAGCTTAGTCAACAATTCCCCGCCAGCACTTGGGGCACATAAATATATGTACATACATACAATACATTATTGAATTGTGTATAGAGGGGGCTAAGTACAGTCGTGCTCTGCCGAGTATTCGTATTCACAGACAAGTGGCTCGGCATGTGGAGTGTGTTTAAATGAAATTGCTTGATTCGGCATA